CATACCACGATCCTATGCTCTGGGGCTATGACTATGATGGTAAATAAATATTCAATTTTATTTACTGATAACTTTTTTTTTAGAGTGAGCGAGAGAAGCAGGAACAAATTGAGGTCCAGAAGGAGAAGCAGAGGGAGCTGATCCTGCAGCTCAAGACACAGCTGGATGACCTGGAGACATTTGCTTACCAGGAGGGTAGCTATGATTCTCTGCCGCAGTCTGTGGTTATGGAAAGACAACGGGTAAGGCTCACAAAGTCCTTCTGCCTGTACTTCTTCTTAGCATTTGTGAGCCTCTTACAGGCTGTAGGAGTTGGTCAGTCCTTATTTCTCGCCGTCAGCTGTAATAGAGTATCAGTAGTTCATCTGCATGTGTATACCTGTCCCGTGTCTTTTCTTGCAATTTTCTGTGTGCAGCAAAAGTGGCCTGTTTCCAAGGTAATGAACGGGTAAAGGAGTATTTTGAAGCTCATGGACAGCAGTGCCACACGGTGAGATGATGCTGCTCACTCATGTTTTGCAGATGATTATAAATGAGTTGATAAAGAAGCTGGACATGGACTTGAGTGAAGATATTGCAACGCTCTCTCCAGAGGAATTGCGACAGCGCGTGGATGCTGCCATAGCACAGATTGTGAATCCAGCCAGGGTGAAGGAGCAGCTGGTGGAACAACTGAAGACGCAGATACGGGACCTGGAAATGTTCATCAACTTCATTCAGGGTCAGTGTTGAGTTTTAGATGAGCAGATTGAATTGCTTTGTAATTCCCTGACACAGTTATGATGAGGGAGGTCACAGATGTCAGAGGATGCAGGAAGGGTGTCTGGGTCACGAGGAAGTAGAGATCTCTCTGAACTGATGGTGGGGAAAATGAGACTGACAAAAAGGGTGCAGAGAGGTCTAAGGAATATTGAAGGTGATACTTGGGATGCGCAGCTTAAATTCACAAGTGTGAAATAATAGTGTGAAATTCTTGTTCTAGATGAAGTTGGAAGTTCTGGTAAGGTGGAAGATGGACACTGTGAATGCGCAGGCAGAAAAGATGGTGGTGGCTCCTACAAACCAAATGCACGGCCTTCTGGAAATAGAGGTGGGCACCCTTCGGCTTGGAGCTTCCAGCACTGCTCCTGCCGTCACTCCTCTGAGGTTCGGCAGGCATGAACCAGCGTCCGGTCACGCTGGGCTGCTTGGTCTTTTTCCTGGCACGTGGTTTCTATTCTTTCCTACTCACGCTGACAGAAGGCCTGTGTCCAGTTCTTTAACACTTCCCCCACGGGATCAGTAGAGTAGTCGCAGAACCTGAATTGGTGGCGCAGAGGGTGGGATTGGCCCTCAGCAGAGTTCAGGGATAGAAGGGACTTCTGATACTTAGTGCAAAATGCAGACAGACCAAGCAGCGTGGTCTTGTACACACTGTTGGGCTGCACTGTAATGAATGCTCTTTGAGTTCTTAGCTCTGTGAGCAGATACAGTGAGATGGATGGATCCAGTGTTCTTTATAATTTGAGACTTTTCTACTTACAAAATGAATTTATTGGAACTAGAACGGTGTACTAGAGGAAATACTATAATACCTTTACCTTTTGTAATCTGAGGCATCTGCTGCTAGTCAGAGATAGGATACTGGCCTGGATGGACTTTGGGTCTTACCCAGTGTGGCTGCTCTTGCAAATTGAATTTAATGATGGCATGAGGAGCAAGCAGCATATGTTAACCTGCTGAGACAAGATGCTCCTTCAAAGTAGGCAGTGATCTCCTTCAGCAAAAGTTTTGGTATCTAATTGCCTAATCCTAATATTATCATGTCTAAAGAATGATCTTTCTGCGCTATCTTGTCTTTGGTTGATGCTTCTGATAGGAAAACCGTTGTAGGATTTCTTCTCTGTAAGATGACCTGATTGTCGTGAACAGGCCCTGCAAATGTTTGCTTTTCTGGTTGGCTTCAGTGCTTTGAAACTAGAAAAAGTAGCATCAGTCCTAGTGACGAAAGCTCCCGAGGAGGATCCATGACAGAGGAGGAGCAGACATTTGCGCTCCCTTTGTGTGTGTGAAAGAGCAGAGCTCTGATTCCTTAATGAGAGCACTTTTTTCTCTTTTCTAACCTGATCAGTGAACCCAGAAGACGCCAGGAAGATGCGAGAAACGGGCCTGCACCTCATGCGTCGCATGCTTGCTGTGCTACAGATATTTGCTGTCAGTCAGTTTGGTTGTGCTACTGGTCAGATTCCTCGCACCCTCTGGCAGAAGGACCAAGCCAACAAGGACTATTCCCCCTTAATTAAGAAACTGGAGTTGTCGGTGGAGCGGGTGAGGCAGCTAGCTATGAAACACCAGCAGGAAGACCACGTTATCAGTTCCTCCAGTCTGCAGGACATTCCCTTAGGCGGCAGAGATGAGCTGACTCTAGCTGTGCGGAAGGAGTTGACCATTGCTTTGCGAGACCTGATGGCTCACGGGCTCTACGCCTCATCTCAAGGAATGAGCCTGGTATTGGCACCCATCGCGTGCTTGATTCCTGCGTTCACCTCATCCCCGCAGACCATGCACCCCTGGGAACTCTTTGTGAAGTATTACAACACTAAGAACGGACAAGCCTTCGTGGAATCCCCGGCTCGCAAGCTCTCCCAGTCCTTTGCCTTGCCTGTGACAGGAGGAGTGGCCGTTACCCCCAAACAGAGCCTGCTGACAGCGATTCACACTGTCCTCACGGAGCACGACCCCTTCAAGCGCAGCGCAGACTCTGAACTGAAAGCTCTGGTGTGTATGGCACTAAATGAGCAGCGTCTGGTCTCCTGGGTAAATCTTATCTGCAAATCTGGAGCTCTGGTACAATCCCACTACCAGCCATGGAGCTACATGGCAAACACAGGCTTTGAGAGCGCACTCAACGTTCTCAGTCGCCTGAGCAACTTGAAATTCAACCTCCCAGTTGACCTGGCTGTCCGGCAGCTGAAAAACATCAAGGATGCTTTTTGATGTATTTTTATTGTGGATCATCCATTTTCAACAAGTAGGCAGCTGTTGGGCTCAAGAAGCCTGGCTTTTTTAAGACCAAGTTTGGCTCTTTAAAATTGGTATCTGCTTTTAGGGAAACGTTACGGTGTCTTGATGCTGGAAATCTTTGTTTTACAAGGCTGCCACTGCAAAACTGCTGGAGGTCACGCACTGTACAGCACCTCGCCCTGCCCGTTTTATGCAGCTCTGAAGAGCGAAACCGCTTCGCTGGGGAGCGGATGCCAGCGAGCGTTCAGTGCGCGAGGCCGGCTGCCCCGAGCCTGGGAGAGGCCTGGCCAGGGAGCCTGCAGGCAGGGGAAGCCCCTTGGAACTGCAGCTCAGCATCCGTGGGGTTATTCCTTGAACTTTGTGGTCGAGGCGACGCCTCTCACGGGAAGAGCGAAGCAGGCTGGCCAGTGTTTGGCTGCCTCGGCGTCGCTGGGCGGCGAGTGACTTGCTCTCCGCAGTGTGGATGTTTGAGAAACGGGGCGGATCTGGTGCGCCGTGGGTGCGGGCAGCTGCGCGGTGCCGGCAGCTCGGTGCTCTGCAGGAGCGGCCACGGTTTTAGTGCTGCCGGGCGAGGGGTCAGCAATGACGGCTTCGTCCGGCGATCC